AAGGCACAAACTCACACGTGCAGAGGAGGGAACGGCTCTTCCCACCCAGCGCTGCTGGCTCGCGGTCTCCTCCGAGTGTCCTCTCTCGCTTAGCATCCAGCACATCTGCGGGTTAAACAGCAACTGCTGCAGCCACCTGCAGAGATTCCCACGCAAAACCATACAGCGATAACCACCCCGAATTGTTCGCATTGTGGCCCAGCAAGGCCCAGGTGACACAGAGATGTTAGATACTCACCCGTGCCTCCACTGGGCAAACGCAAACCTAGATTTGCAGCCCCAGCAGCCTCTCCACGCACGACGAAGCCAACAAGCAGCCCTCAGGTCGCTTCGGATCCGTTATGGGAAAAGGACTGAGCACGGTGAGCCTTTTACAAGAATGATAACACAATTCCTCCGACCCCAGGATGTATATTGCACAGTTTCTGAGGGCTACATGGCTGGTCCAGGCTCTGTGGCTCTGGTGTGCAGGCTGAGAGGGGGATCTGGCCAGAGGAACTGCACACAGCGTTGATCAGGGCAGGGGTCTCTGGTACCCTGCGTGATTGCCCGCCCTCATGAACATCTCTCCTACGTGCCAGCCCTCTGTTCCCCCTTCCCATGCCACGTCGGGTCCAGCCTGAGTCAGATGCTGCCTAATCTCATCAGCACTGAGAGCAAATTCGATCCCGGCGCTGTCTGGCCACGGACAGGGGCTGTGAACAGCAGAGCCCCTGGGGCATGGGGAGCTGCGCCCGGCCACTGTGAGCTTGCCTTCCCTCCCTGCCCTCATCCAAATTGAATTTCCATTTATGTTAGCGAGGCAATGGATTATAGCTCGGAGGGGTGCTGCCTGCCTCAATCCCTAATTTGGTGCATGAATTGTGTTTGAACCTACTCACCTGCAAGTCAGTCCTCGTCGAAGGCAGGCAGCCCTTGCCTCCTGCTGATGGAGGCAGCTGCTTCCCAGCACCCCACCACAAACATCAAGGCACTGCAGCTTTCAGGGCTCTGGAAACCGCAGCTCACCTCCCTTCAGGGCTGGCTTTGCAGCCGGGGAGGGGTCGTTGGTGGCAATGAAAGGCCACGGCAGCTTTAGCACGTCGCCAGGAGGGTTTGGACGTGCGGCTCCGCGGAGGATGGGGTCAGCAACACCCAGCGGGGGATTGATGCTGCTGCTGGGGCTCATGCAGCATCCAGCACAGCCAAGCTGGGGCCTGGGGGACACATCTGAGAACTGCCCATTAAAAACAGCCCTTCTCCAGCGCTCACAGCACGCTCCAAGTATTCCTTGTTCTTTACTGCACCCTCAGCTCTTTTCTGGGGGCAGGTGGGCAGACCCGAGTCTCGTCCCCAGCACAGGATGCTCCCATGCTAGCACCAGCGCAACCGTGCCAGCCTCAGCTGCTCCGAGCGGTCAGGGTTTCGGAGTCAGGAAACTGGCATTTCTACATCTCACTGAAGTCTTAAAATAAACAGCCGGAGCAATGAGCGGAAAGCTGTATCCTTGCTCCTCGCCTGGATTTATGAGCAATGACTGGGGAGAAACTGAAGGGGGGAGAGAGAGATATACATAATTTTTTTCTCTTTAAATAAATTCTTACCGCTTATCTGCAGAATTCAGCTGTTTTCAAGCTGACCTGCCTGTATTATGCTGTTCCATTGCAAATTCCTTCTGTACAGGAAAGCTCAGGATCTCCACTTGCACATGCCAGCAACCTGGGGTTCCATCTCTAGTAGACGGAGGCAGAACTCGTTAGCCAAGGACCCCCTCCTGCCCTCCCGTGAGGATCATTTGCCTTCCTGCCATGCTGGCAGCTCAGCTGCTGTCCCCTTACAATGAGGAAACAAACCCAAGAGAGAAGGAGAAGTGGGTGAACCTGTGCCTGGAGGAGGTTAGGAATGGGGCAAGGCAAAAACCTGTTCCCGGGGGCTTTTGTCACGCAGCCAGCCGTCTGCCGGAGCAGCCAGGGCTGGAGGACGAGGGACATCCATCGGACGCTTTCAGAGAAGGATCTCGGAGCACAGCGCATCCAGGAACGAGCCCAGGAGCCTCAGGCAAAGGGAGGGATGCTGCCTCCACCTTCGGGAAGCTGAGCGGAGCCGTGGGTCTGTTGAGCCATGGAGGTGCAGACCCAGCCCGGGGCACCATGGGGGTTCGGTTCACCCCTCCAGCGAGCATGGCCCCAAGAGCTGTCAGGGTGGGAGCCCTCCCAGGCTGCTCTAATGACCTCCTGCACATTAAGCTGTCTGGACATGTGCTTTTAAAGCTGACACCAGCAGCAGGAGGGCTGGTGCGGGGCTGGGCTGTGCACTGGAGTCAGTGCTCCCATCAAACGTGGGATGGGGCCGAGGGATGCGCTTGTCTGGGAGAGCTCAGCTCTCCAGCTTTCTCTCGTTGTCCTTTTGCCTGATAAAGCTGAATAAGAGACCAAAACCTCTACCCAGCAGGTCACCCGACAACGAGAGAGATGCTCTGCATCAATTGCCGCGTTCCTGGGTAAAGGTTGTTTCTTAGGACAGTAAAAGCTCATCAAATTTAACGTAGAGATGCATGCATTGATGATTCTTTAAAACACCTGGGCACTGAGCTGAAGCTACTTCCTCACATTACACAGGGCTGGGAAACGGGGATCTGCCCTCGCGACATTGCTGCAAGGACCACGAGTGAAACCCAAGACCCAGAGGGGACCGGAGGGGACTCCGCACTGAGAGCATCGGTGTCACGTGAGCCAGCATTAATAAAAGAAGACCACAAACTCTGAGACTAAAGCAACGCAGTGTGTGCGTATCAAAGAGCTTGAGGTGGTTCATTACAATTCCAATTAACATAGAGAAGTTAATAATGAAAGGAGAATACATCAGGCTTTAAACAAATTAGATGAGGGAGGGTGACAGATAAGAGGTGTCTTTGAACTGAAGCCAAAGTCCCAGCTGCTACAAAAGCAAAGAAATAACAAATATTTGATGTCTACAAAGGTTCGGGCAGGCAGGACCTTTGATGGGAGGCAAACCAGGGTGGGAGGGGAGCTAGGCTTTGCATGGTGATCCTGACTTTTGCTTAAATGCTGTGCTGGGTTTGGAAGGGTCAGAAATAAATCAGAGGAGAGGAGAGGGAGAGGGAGAGGAAGAGGGAGAGGAGAGTTTTATTCTGGCTGTTTGGGGGAAATCAGCATTTTCTCTGGCATTTAGCTTTGCAGGGGAAATATTTCAAACACTGTCAATATTACTTCATGCCTGGGAGCTCAGACAACGCCCTGCCCAGGATCAGGGCTCCTTTGTACTAATTGCATCGTTAGAAAGCAGAAGAGCAAATCTCAAAGCCTGCAGCATCTCCCATTTGCCTTCCTACTCCTGAGATACTCAACCTCATGGGATAGTTATCTAAATAATCCGTGCAGGGTGGATATTCTCTGCTTGTCCCATCCCAGAGTAACACCACCTGAAAAGGGGAGCCCATTGCAGGTGCTGACCACCCAGTGCTGACCTCTGTCCTGCCCCGATAAGAAACTCCCAGGAGGAAAATGCAAGCAGGCAGGGACATCCACCCACACTCGGGCACCACGTCCTCAGCAGTCACAGGACCAGAGAGCCGGGGCAGCACCGCTGGAGTCTTGTTTCTTCCAGGTGCTTCTCAAGGGTGAAATCTGGGCAATGCCAGCACTGCAAAGCCCCTGGGGCCACCGGTGTGAGGGGACCATACCCTGGTGCTGCTGGATGAGGGAGAAGAGCAGCCTGGAGCTGCTGGGGCAGGAGGCTGAGAAGGGCTGGGTTCAGTTCTTGTGACAGTTATTAACCAAAAATGTAATCTTCCACCTGGGAAAGTAAATGGAGTCCCTGAGGTGCCCTCCACAGGCAATACATCCCCATGGGGTATTTTGGAGGAGGCCAGGAGAAGGAATTCACACTCCCCAGCACTAAGACACTTCCTTGCTGCAGTCCCCATCGGCTGCCTCCCCCAGCCATTGCAGCTGAGTCCATTCATGCTCCCCGTGTCCTCCGAGGAACCATACAGCACGCTGCTCGTAATGTGCCATTGATTCCGATTTTCTTCCCTGATTTCTCCGAGCATTAACAAGCTGGGGTGACTCTGCTCTGGTTTGTACCCTTTCTGTCCCAGGCTGCTGGGAGCCTGTGGGGCTGTCTCCGATGCTGGGGTGTGCAGGAAAGACCCTGTGAGATGCCAGGACCCCAGCTCAGCACTGCCAGGCCGGCTCTACCTTGCTAAAATAAACTTGCAGCATTTTCCTGGAGGTGTGATCACGATTACATTTGAAACTATTATTAACAGGTTAAAGAACGGATGGAGGCTGAGATGGGAGGAGAACAGCCATCTCCCACGCTGTCTCCAGCTGAGCTATCGGGCTGGCTCACTGGAGCAGAAAACACTGTTGCCACCACCTGAAACACAAGGAGGACATGTCGTCTTCTGGGACTCTCCCTCTGAACCTGCTCTGACACCCATGAGAGCTCCAGCGAACGACACCGCAGTCAGCTTGGAGAGCACCCAGCAGAATGTGGGCAGGGAGAAGGACCAGGACTCTGTGTCCATCAGGCAGCTGACCCTGGGATTTGACACCCCCCCAGCTTGGACACCTCTTGGGTCGTAAGCGATCCCAGCCTGGGGAACGTGGGGGGCTGTGTCTGGGATTGCTATCCTGGAGATTTTGCCCTGCAGAGCTGGGCGAGAGGCACCGCAAGCAGGGCAGAGCATGTCCACACAGGGCTCAGCAAGAGCAGCTTGAGAGCAAACAGCCCTTTCCAGCCACTAAGGAAGATTTAAGAGTGAATAACATCAGCCCAGTCGAATTCAATTGCTATTGATAATGTCCATGTGCAATTAGAGCCAATTAAGGGGAGGCAGCGAATGACAAGTGTTTGGCCAGGAGGTGGGGGGGGTCAATACACCAATCCAATTTCCCAACAACCAAATGCAATTAAAGAATATCACTTACCCAGCCTGCCCAGGAGGGCCAGCGCATAAATGGGCAGAGCCGGGCGCGGGTGCCATCCTGACCATCATGCAGACCTCCGGGAGCAAGCCCTGCCCCTGCCCCAGCTTCAAGCTGCGGGAAGTGGCCTCCATGTATTTCACCATGATCGCGGTGTTCCTGGTTATCTTGGTGGTGGCCCTGCAAGGCTCGGCACCCCGCGGGAGCGATTTTCCCTATAAGGTGCCCCTCGATCCCCAGGGGCTGCTCGAGCTCTCCTGGAACGTCAGCTACCCCGAGCAAGCCGTGCACTTCCAGCTCCTCATCAAGGACCTGCAGTTCGGGCTCCTCTTCGGGATGTCGGACAGGGGCGAGTTCGAGAACGCAGACCTGGCCGTGCTCTGGAGCGACGGGCACAATTCCTACTTCGGGGTGAGTCGCTTGTGCGTTTGCATGGCTGCTTTTGGGGTTGCCTCGCCGCGGGTGAATCTGGCTCATGGTTTGAAAGCGTGGGGCTGGTCTGGGACACACTGGATCACTCCTGCTGCTCGGGTGGAAGCGGTCCAAAAGGGCTTGGGGATTTCTGTCCTAGAGAGAGCCACAAATCAGGTCTACACTATGGGTTTGGCATAGGATCTTAAACCCAAAGAGAAAAGAATAAAGACAGCAACACGTCAGCAAGGCTGAGTGGAACCAAAACCTGGATGTCTCTGCTAGGCTGAGCTGCAAAGAGCTCCAAGAGATGCGGGGACAGACCCTCACACTCACGCACGCAGACAGACGCAGGACGCACCAACACCTCGGTTCCCTTGAGCGCTGCTGTCAGTCACATCACGAATTAACCACAGCTCCTGCGAATGACTTTGAGACAGTGCTAAAGTTACCAGCATGCAAGGCTGCTCCTGCCAGCACCGACCGCCCAGCCGCCAGCCGCCTTCGACGCTAGCGCAGAGACCAGCAGGACAAGGGAAAACTCAACCTGGCAGCTGCCTGTCTGCCAGCCGCGCGGTGTTCTCGGAAATTAAACATGCAAATATGTTTGGGCGATATGGAAACGCCTGGTGGTAGCAGATGGGAGGGGGAAACCCATTTCTAACTTTGGGGTTTGATTTTGCTGCTGCAAATCGCCGTCCTTTTGGACACAGGCTGTTTGTCCAGGTTCTGGTTTGGTTTGTCTTTCCTCCGGGGCTGTGGTTACAGCAACTACCCCCATGCTCTCCGGCACCTACCTATCCCCAGACCACCACTTTAGGCTTATTGCAATTCCACTTGGCTGCAGAAAGCAATTCACATTTTTCCCCCATGTGAGGCTTTCCAGTAAGTTAAATTTTACCTCTCTGCTTACTTCAAATTAACCATAAAATACATTCTTTCACAATCAGCCGCAATGTGATCTGCAGCATAATGAGAGGATGAAAAGGAGGGCTTATTATCTGTACTGTTTTCCTGCTAATTACCAGCCATTCAAGATGTGTGGTGGCCCAAATGCTACAGTATTTCACAGAATCATGTTAAAAAAACATAAACGATGATTTCTAATCTGCCTTCATGTGCTCGCTGAAAGACACACAGCGCTGGATTAGACACTGGGCAGCATTCGGGCTTTCTCCTTCCATTGCTGCTGAACAGCATCCTGCAAGGAGATTTCTATAAATCTCTCCAGTCCTGGTTTTCTCTCTCCCAGCAGCCTTTCTTTTGGATAAGTATGTCAGCTGTTAAAAAGAGCCAAATTTGCTTAACCTTCCATGTACTACAAGATTAATTTGCACACCATACTCCTATGAAAAACAAATGTCATGCTAGCTTCATGGAGCTGATTTTACTCTCCCCCTCTAAGGACAATATGTTCCTGAAATATCACTCTATACTTCTGGCTGAAATGATGCCAAGATGCTTTATTCTTTTCCTTCTTATTTTCTTCCCCAAGATAAGAGAACCAGTGCCACTTGTGTGTGTGCAGCGAGGTACTTCTTAGGTGCCTTTTCTCAGTAAACAAAAGATATCAATGGGAGATGCAAAAGATCAAGAAAGCAAAGCTATTGAAATCCAAATTATCACAGGGTTTTATACTTCAAGCCTTCAAATCCTTAAGCACAGGAGTAATGTACTGCTTTGCTTCTCGGGGTGGCTTTGTCACTACTGAGCAGTTTTTGGGAGGCCTTGCTGGGCTGCCGACACAATCTGGCTACAACAAATAAAGGGTTTTGAAGCGGGGAAGCAACTTCTAGGGCTGACACTACAGCCCAGCAAGGGTCTGGTCTTAAATTGAGAGCAGCTGGTTTGTGGCAAGGGTCTTGGAGAGCACATCACCCTCGCCACAAGGTCCCTCCAGCCAAGTACAGCCGAAACACAGCACAGACAGATGCAGCACCTTCACGTGTCCCTGTGGGCTTTCCTCCCCTCGCATCTCCACTTGTAAAGGTCTTTCTGCAGAATATTAATGCTGCGTCACATATTTCACAGGTCTGCCTGTGCCCACCCAGGTGCCACCAGCAAGGGTCTCGTGGCAGGGGCTGTGCCGGTGTGGCTGTGCCCGTGGGCTGCTGGAGGGGGGCATGGGGCTACCAAAACACAGGTTCTCTCCGCCTCTGGGAGGTGGAGGGTGAACCAACTGGAGGGTGAACAGAAGGATGTCCTCATGACCTGCAGTACCACTGGAAGTCTCCACCTTGGGCTCCTTGGGCTGAATGGGGCCAGCAGAGAATCCTGGCGTAGTGGGGTGCTCTTCCTCCCGGCTTAGTGGGGTGCTCTTCCTCCCACAGGATGCCTGGAGCGATGCCAAGGGGCAGCTCCACATGGACTCTCAGCAGGACTACCAGCTCCTCGGGGCTCAGAGGGCTCCCGAGGGGCTCTACCTCCTCTTCAGAAGAGCCTTCAGCACCTGTGACCCCAAGGACTACCTTATAGAGGTACGGCATCACCCTCACCCCGCTATAGCACTCCCCAGCCCCGTCCCAGCCCTGGGGCAGCGCTCCAGACCCCAACCTGTATGATTATACCTGATGGGTGTTCTTTTTTGGGAACAGCATTAGGCATTTGTGCTGTCTAGGGCAGAAAGGATGCATGCTACATATGTCAGCCCTGGGACATGCATAGTATTTGGCATGATCTATTTACAACCCCTTATAAACATCTATAAAGTGTAGATTTTAGCTCATTTGCATCATCCACTCCTGTTAAGCATGTGTTAGGTCCATATAAATACCGTCCTGCATCACTCCGGCTTGCAGTCTGGAGCCAACTGTTTGGAGTGTTACTAAGAGGTGTTGGTGTTATTCAATGGGAGGCAAAGAGGAGGGTTTTGGCAGGAGCCAGAGCAAAGGGACTGCAATCAGAATCACTGCAATGTGCTTGTGTGTGGTTCAGTCAGGTCTCTCTGGGCCTGCACTCATTGCTCCTCCACGAGAGGGGACCTGGGGGAAACCTTCCCAGCAGGGATGTTGAAGAGCTCCAGGGTCTCAGCCATGGACCCCAGGTGTGGGCAAGAATTGGCACAAGGCCCATTTCAGACGCAAGCCTTTGGCGGGCAGGATATTTTAAAGCCAATGTGGGCACAGAGCATCCCTGAGATTTTTGTTGCTAGTTTTCAAAAGCTTGTCTTGTGGTGAGAAATGTCTACTGTCTGCCAAAACATGGAGAGCCCTGGAGGAAAAAAAATAAATCTGTGTGTGAACTGGGAAAAGCCTTGCAGGTCTTTATGCTCTGATCCTTTAAGAGAAAATTGTTCTCTTTTCCTTTGTTCCTTATCTCCTGTCCAGAGCTCACTGGGTACAGCAGCACCTTCCTTGCTTGCAGCTGACTTTCAGCAGAGCTTCTTGCGGTACCCACCCCAACAGAAACTGGGAGGAAGGGAGGGTTTCAGGGAGAAGTTTTGTTTCTGCAGTTCCTCCCCAGGCTGCTGCCCTTGGCCATTGCTGGAGCTGGGCTGCAGGGTGGGATGAACCCTGAACCAACGTGGTTGTCCCAGCCTGGAGTTCAGGAGGGGCTAGTGGCTTTGAAGAAGCAGAGAGGAGATGCTGCCTTATGGGCAGGACAGAGGTGTGTGGGCAAAAGCATTAACTGCTTAAGTTTAAAACTGATGCCATCTAGAGAAAACTTTTTGGACTCTCCCAACTGATAGGGAACCCTCTGTTTTCATGTCAGCCAAAGAAATGCACCGAAATATAGAGTCTTTCTGGGACAGCCTAGCGAAGAGAGCTACTGGTGAAGTCAGGGTGGCTTCCCATTTGGGGATGGGTCAAAAGGCCCATACCTGGATTCATGCCACCAATCCTGGTGCTAACAGCCCATGCAGTTCACATTCCTGCATGAAAAACTACCTGATACTCTTTGCTCTTTCTTCAGGATGGCACCGTACACCTTATCTACGGGATTCTGGAGAAACCAGTTCCTTCCCTCCAAGCCATCAACATCTCTGCCATCCACAGGGGACTGCAGAGGGTGCAGCTGCTAAAGCCCAACATCACTGTCCCTGAACTGCCCAGCGACATGAAGACCATGGAGATAACAGCCCCTGACATTGTCATTCCCAGTCAGGAGACAACCTACTGGTGCTACATGGCAGAGCTCCCAGATGGCTTCCCCAAACATCACATTGTCATGGTAAGAGCCAGAAGAAGAGGGTTGCTTTCCCTGGTGCAGATCAGCAATCATGTTCACATTCAGCCATTCTGCAAAGTCCACTTCTTCCCTGCCCTTTCAGACCCATACATCTTCCCCAACATGGTACCAGAACATCTCCCAGAGCCATTCCGCTAGCCACTAGCATCCTCATGTCTCCTAGAGAACCCGAAATCAGATGTTTCTCAGCAGGAGGTGGCAGGTCGGTGACTTTCCACCTGGCACATCAAGCAAGTACCAGAGCAGGGTCGGAGCTGACCCCCTGCAGAAGGCAAGAGCCATAGCCATAAAGGACAGACCTGCGGTAGGATTATGGCACACAGTGAGCCATGAGGAATATATAAACACGGGAAACAAAGGCTCAGGGCTGGCAAGAGCAGGGCAGAGTGAGCCAGGATATGAACTGGCTTCTAAAAGATTATGCATACTCCGAAACAAAAGGTCACAGGCATAAATGCAACTCGTGTGCATCACCCAGACATGTTGCAGGTGCTTGGGTCACCTCCCTCAAAGGAGAGGCAGAAACCTGCAGGCAGCTTCATGCCGGGGAAGGGCAGGGTAATGCCAGCCTGAGTGCCCACCACGAGCTGCCGGGACAGCATAGCCCCGGCAGGCACGGAGGTGGCTCGGTAGATGACCTGGCACACCCAGAGTCAAAACCACGCAATGGGGAGAGGGAAAACCTGACACATGAGCCCAAGCGAGTGCCTAGCGATTTACAGGGGAGAGACAGCGTTGCAAAGGAAAACTCAGAAGGAGGATTTTCTCTCCAACAGATGGTGTGAAATGAATCATCTGTGTGTAAGTAAAAAGTGCGTAACTCCTGATACCTTCCCGCTGCTGCAGATCATTTCTACAGCTGGTGCTTTTAGCCAGAGCCATTCCTCAGGCTTATTTGAAGTCACTCTTTCTACCCCAAATCCCCCTTCCTGTGCCCCGAGCAGCTGTTGGCTAGAAACGAAACCCAATAGCTGCAAGCAGAGCTACCGCAACATGGCCAAGACCATGGAAAAGCAATGTCCTCAGCGTCACCTCAGCCTTGCAAAACTGGCAAAGGACTTGGTCATCACAAAGCAGACCAAGGTCTTCTGCTGATCAGGTGCATCAGTCGCTGGAGAAGGGATGAGATGTGTCTCTGTGGCTTCTGCTGGACTCTGGGTTGGTCCCAAAGCCAACCAAGAGCTCTTGGCCCTTGGTACCTCATGCCCAGAGCAACATTCATCCCCATCACGCAGCAGAAGCTGTCTCCCATTCAGTAACACATAGCAGACATACCTGCCTTGGGCTTGTTGTGGAGCCTGCACAGACAGCAGCCCCCGGGGACAGGCTCTCAAGCAAATGGTCTTAACGTGTCCTCCTTCTTCAACACTGCTTTGCAGTACGAGCCAGTGATCACAGCAGGCAATGAGGCCCTGGTCCACCACATGGAAGTCTTCCAGTGTGCTGCTGAGTTCCACAGTCTCCCTCACTACAATGGGCCCTGTGACTCCAAGATGAAGCCAGCCCATCTCAACTACTGCAGGCACGTGCTTGCAGCATGGGCCATGGGAGCGCAGGTGGGTGCAAGATGGGACCTGTTACCCTGGGTGAAGGCTTTGCTCCTGGGGGTTGTGCTGCTGCTTCCCAACCCTTCCCAATCCCATTTTGGGATTGCCCCATGCGGGCTGCCCCAACCCCAATTTCTGCTGGGATTTGTGTCCAGCCCTGTCTGAGCTCCCCCAAAACGTGTCTGAGTTTCCACCTCACCACAGCCCACCTCCTTGGTGCCATAAGTTGGTGTGATGCCCCCTGCTCAGTGGTTATGCCATTGCATGTGCATGCCAGCATGCGAGAAGCCTTTTGAAGCAAGACAAACTTCCAAGCACAATCAAGAGCACAAGTCATGTCCCTCAGCCCATGGTGGGGGTCAGGATTATGACCGGACATTTCCCTTAGGCTTTTCAGTTTTATTCCCAGGAACGTTACCCCATCAGTCCCCTTACATCCTCCCTCTGCTTCCAGGCTTTCTACTACCCCGAAGAAGCAGGTCTTGCCTTCGGAGGCCCGGGCTCCTCCAGATATTTGCGCCTCGAGATTCATTACCACAATCCCCTGGTGTTTGAAGGTGAGTGGGCGCATAGCGATGCCCAGTGCCCCCCCAGCGAGGCAGTGGCAGGAGAGCTGGGTAAATGCTGGGCACTGCTACCCTGCCGGGGAGGGCTCTTTCAGAAGAAAATTTGGCCAGAATCATAGCCGTGTTTGCATATTTCTGGAGACCTGATGGTCCAGGTCTGTCTTAGTTGGAGGAAGATATTAAGTCCCCACCATGCTGGTGCATTTCTGGTCTCAGCAAAGTCATCCTCACTGGAGGCTGGACGCCATCCTCACGCGTGCCCAGCAGTGGGGAGGGATGCTCGGGGAAGGGAGCCTGGCTGAGCCCACAGCCCCCAGGCAGCAACCCGCCCCTACACACTGCTCCTGCAGGGCAACAGTCCAAGGAAACACCTTTGTTTAACTGAGCTGTCACCAGGTGTCCCCCAGTTTCCGTGCAAGGTGGTGGGTCTGAGCTGAGAGCCAAGAGCAACAGCAGTGCCGAAGCCACCAGAGAGACAGCACCAGCCTGGCTGCGGATGGGGGAATTTAGATGTTGTTTTACTGGTACTCCTGCTTCAATAACACTGTCAGGAGACACATTTGAAAAAAAAAAAAAAAAAAGGATTCAAAAAAACCCAGTTTCTTCATTTACATAAAAACAAGTAGCTTCTTGACTAACCAAGTGTATTTTTAGGAGACCAGAACATATGTACTGTAGATCAGTCATAGCACATTCGGCAACTTGAGAAGAAACACGTCTATAAATACAGAGCTCACATCTTTCATAATTTATCTGCTTTTGCATGTTAACCAATAGTGTCTCCCTCGTTATTCTTATCCCTGGGTGGGCTCCAACCCAGAGACAGGGGGTTCAAAGCCAGCCTGAACCCTTCATGGCCTACTGAACCTGCCCCTTCCCTTTGCCCACAAAGCTGGGTGGCAAACAGGAGCCAGAGCTTGGCTTTGCATCTTGGCAGAGCTCGCTGCTGCCTCTGCCTGCCCTGGCACATGTCAGCACATGCCAAGGGCACATCATGGGCACAGGGTCTTCTCCAGCTCCCACCAGCTGTGTTTGGACAATGCAGGGAGTTAAACGCAGCAATCTCAAATGCAAGAGAGACCAAAAGCTTTCCAAAGGCAAGGAATACTTGCTCCGTAGGCATTTCTCCTCCTGCCAGCACCCCAGTAACAGCATGGCCCTAGCTCTTTGGATGTATCAGTTCAAGAAGATGCAATGAGACATACTTCTGAGGGAGTTCTCCAAAGCACCCCATGATCTGTCCTCCTGTTTTGGGCTCTCCAAAGGTACTCCTTATCTCTCTTCATAGTGATTCATCCTCAGGTTGGTAACCTCTCTAGGGGACCAGGCACGTGTCTGGGGCCACTCAGGAAAGACTTGCATGAAAATATCTAGGATTTAAATCAATAAGAACCGCATACATGAAGCAAGCTGCGAGTGAGAGGCCGGCATGCCTCTCCCCACCGCAGCACAACATCATTTTCATGCCTGACCTTCTCCTGGCAGCTGTCACTTCTCCTGCAATGACTTGCAGCCTTGTCCTCTCATCTGCCAGGTCGCCGTGACTCCTCGGGAATCCGCCTTTACTACACGGCCACTCTGAGACGCCACGACGCCGGCATCATGGAGCTGGGCTTGGTCTACACACCAGTGATGGCCATTCCCCCGGACGAGGAAGCCTTTGTCCTCACGGGGTATTGCACCGACAAATGCACCCAGCTGGTGAGTGCCCATCCTCTGTCCCGGCTTCGCCTCGGAGAACAGAGATTGCAAACGGCTTTTCCGAGGCAGCAGCGATACGGGACCAAGCTGTGGGCTCCCATTTCCCAGTTTTAAACTCCCTGAAGCCCTTACCGTGAGGTTGTGCTGGAAAAAAAGAGTCTGCCGTGTACGACAAACAGCGAGCAGCTGGCTGGGATGCGCTGAATCCCCCTCGAAGCGTTTCTCCTGGGGAGCCATCTGCTCCGGCTCCCCGGGGTACCATTCCCATAAAACTTCCTGCCGAGCTGGCTGTGCCTCGGTGGTGCTTTCCCCCATGGAGGTGGGAAGATTGGCTTCTGCTTCCAAGGAGCTCGCCAAGAGTTCTCTCAAGTACGGTTGCAAAATGCCCACCTTGCTCTCAGGGAAGTTTTAGTGGGCGTTTTTTATAGGGCCTACCCAAAAAGAATCATTTGTGCCACCACTAACAAATGCGGGGAAGCAAGCAGCATCCGGCTCAGCTGCTCCTGCTGACGCAGGGCATGGCAGCACATAAATCGGATTTGGCAGCAGACTGAGCATCTGTCCCTCTCCAGGGAGCTCACATCTACGCTGCCCCAAGGGCACAGCAATCCCCAAACCCCCACGCAGGAGCCAGCGCAGGGAAGGCCACTCCGGAGCAGGCAGCAAGGGGATGCGCGGGGGGGAGAGGGATGGGGTCAGGCATGGAGGCTTGAGCCGTCCTTCCCCCAGGCTCTGCCCGCTGCCGGCATCCGCATCTTCGCCTCCCAGCTCCACACTCACCTGGCAGGAAGAAAAGTGGTGACGGTGCTGTCCCGCGACGGGAGAGAGCGGCAGGTCGTCAATGCCGATGGTCACTACAGCCCTCACTTCCAGGTACGGGGGTCTGCGGGGGTCCCGGCTGGACGTCCCCCGCCGGGCTGCCCCGGGCACAGAGCCAC